GCAGGCTCTAGGGAAGCAAAGCCATGGTCCTTGCCCAGCAAAGCACAGGTGCAGCTACCAGCTCAGAAGTACTGTCACTGATGTCAGGTGGGACTGCTTGCACACTTGGAGTTCAGCTTTTGTGCTGGATCAGGGCTTCTGAATGTTCACACTCTGGGGGTTTTATTTCTGCCTTCTCCAGTCCATGTTAGCATGTGGTTTTTATGCAGTTTTGTTAAAGCTTTGTCTCTGGTAGCTGGTTGTTTATATGTGCAAATTCCACTCCAGCTGAACAAAGGTGTCTCCTTCTCTCCCACACACCCTTGCATGCGTGCCTGGGAACTGGGACTCTTCTGTGCGTAGGTTGAATGTTGCCAATGGGCCGACACTGTGCAAGGGAGGATGCGAAGCTATTGTGGATACAGGAACTTCCCTCATCACTGGGCCAACAGAGGAAGTGAAGGAACTGCAGAAGGCCATTGGAGCTAAACCACTCATTAAAGGACAGGTAATAAGTCTTAGGCAGGGGTGTTCTAGAGTTGCCTCTTCTTCCTTGGTGTCAAGGTCCCAGGCGTCATCTCCTCCTTTGAACCTTGGCACTGGCTTCTCCCCATCTTTTGACATATTAATGCCAGGCCTCTTCTCCATGTTCTGCAGATCTTCTACTTTTTTTCCTCTCCTCTGCCTACCTCTCCATTCCTCGTGCCAACAGCCTCCTTTCACCTCCTTTGCTCAAGCCTGTCCGTATGCACTTGAGAGAGACTCCTGACTAATAGGCAGGGAGACAACTGTGAGCATATCACCCCTGAGCATACACCTGTCCCATGTAGGTCCCAGGATAAACTCAGTCTAGATTTGTTCTGCATCCTGCCTGCTCTTGCCTCTAAACTACCAGCCTCTTGGGGCAGAGACTTGCTGCATCTCTGCCACAGTGAGGCATGGGCTGGGCATTTTGCAGTGCTGCATACTGACTTCTGGGCAGCAGCTTGTCAATTCCAAACAGCAATCAGTGTACTTAGATTTTCTCCTGCTTCGGAAGCTGACCTCTTTCTTGGTGAGGAAGGAGCCAGTTGCTATGGAGAAACTGTAGCTCCTGGACCATGATGGCCCTAGTCCTACATAAATGAAGACTGAAGCAGCTAGTGATGGAGCGGACTGGAGACTAATGTCCTCCCCACATCCTTTTGTAGTTGGATCCCAAGTAGTTGGAAACTCAGGGAAGGGGGTTATACTGATATTAGAGGACTTCTATACTAAGGTCAGGTAGGATCCAGTGGGTGGTTCTCTCTTTTTTCTTTTTTTAAATGATCTGATAAAACCTAATAAAGAATCACATCTGCATCTCCATTCTAAAATTCTCCAGTGAAGGTTAAAAATCTCATTCTTTGGTAGAGATCTATAAAATAACCTCTATAGATCACTGCTGGGTTCAACTTTACTAACTTCCATAGGTCTTTCTCCTAGGACAGTGGGGCATGTATTGCAATGATCTCTCTGGACCTGTCCCCCTTCAGGACTCCTCTGCCACTCAAACTTCCATTAATAATGGAGGTTGACCTAAGCTATTAGACTGATCTCAAAGGTGTTTTTTTTTCTACTTGAAGAAACGTGTCTGCTTTCATTTTTAAAGAGCCTGGAGTTCTTAACCCTATTCTGCTGTGCAAAGGGAAGAGATGCTCCCTGCTGCAAAGAGTGACAGTGCTTAGCAGTTCAACTTGTGTTAGCAGTTAAAGCAGCTGTCTCTGAGCTTGGTAGTCACTCCTTAAATTCATCTTTGCTGGATGCAAAGATAATCTATAAGTGTAACTAGCACAAGACCTTGAGAAATCTCCTTAAACATAGAGTGCTCTGTAAGCCCCATTTGCCAAAACAGGGTCTGAAAAAAGCAGAGAGAGGCACCAATGGACTTGATCTCCTGTTTGTCCTCCTGTTCTGCTTCCAGTCCTCCATGACTTCATGCCTCTATCCTTACTTATAGTCCAGTAGCTCTTAAAGGCTTCAAATAAGACTAGCTCCCCACCCCTGTGTTATAGAAAGAGAGTTCCTACTCTGAAGAACTCCAAGGCTGGGCATCAGGCTGTTTCGTTTTTTAATTAGACGGCCTGATGAGAAATGGGCAGAGACACAAGGTGCCTTGCCCAAGATTACATGGTAGGTGGGAAGCAAAGCTGGGAACCTGGGCGTCCACCTCGAAATCCAGTGCCCTCACCATTGGGATATGCTGCCTCTTGATCTGTGTCCCCTGCTGCATTGAACTATGCACAGCCCATCTATTAAAGGACACCCTTCCTCCCCACACCTGTCTCTAACCTCATTTGGATTTGGCTTAAGGCCAGAGGGCAGTAGTTGGCTTTGGCTGTCATTTTTAAACTGTCAGAAGGGGGTTGTCTGGAGGTGGAAGTAGACATGGATATCTCCCAGAGGAACTACCTTTTTCCTCAGCATGAGTAGGCAGAAGCCTTTACGTGGCTCCGGTTTCACTCCTCAGTGTACTATTGCTGTTTCCTTTTCAGTATGTGATCCCTTGTGAGAAGGTGCCGACACTTCCTACCGTCTCTCTTGTGCTGGGAGGAAAGCCCCATCAGCTCACCGGAGAGCAGTACGTCTTCAAAGTAAGTCCCAAGCACCCTTCACCTGCCTCCCTTCTTCTATGCTATCCATTTTCACTAGGCCCCAAGAAAACGTTGCAATGGGTGAGATCCTTGCTCTGCTGAACTCAACAGTAGTGTTGCCAGTAACTGCAGCACAGCACGGACTTCACTTCATCGTGCCAGTTCTAGGCTAGTGGATCTGTGAATAGCTGTGGAGAGCTCTTCTGGCATGTTGCAGTAGCATGAGACCACTGAGTATAGCCATGGATATCGCATCTGATAGATGCGTACATGGATTGAGTCCACTATACTATCATACTCTCTCTATCATTAGGTTTTTGATAGCTTAAGGCCAGGCCTTGTGACAGTGGACATTGATGATGATTGCTTTCAGTAATTCCCTCTCACTGTGTAGACTCAGGTTTTCAACTGCTGCAGTAGAGTGGGCCTTTGGGCTGAAGGGAAAAAGAAGGTTCAGTCTTCTTTTAACATGTTTTTCTCTTTCTGTAGGTTACTGTACAAGGAGAAACCATCTGCCTCAGTGGATTTTCAGGCCTAGATATCCCACCTCCTGGAGGCCCACTCTGGATCCTGGGAGATGTCTTCATTGGCCCCTACTACACGGTCTTTGACCGTGATAATGAAGCTGTTGGCTTTGCCAAGTGTAACTGAGTACCCACCGCAACTCCCCTTACCACACCCTCTCAAACATTGGAGCTGTAGAGAGTGATTACCAGCAAACGAGAAAATGGAAATAGATTTAAAATGAAAAGGAAAAAAAAAATCATTAGTGCCCTGCTAGCTAATGTTTGCTCTCTGTTAATAAGACCACTCTAGTTGATGACTCAACATAGAGTAATCTCCTGCCCTGTTGTTAAGTCTTCCAGCATTTTGTTTTTAACATCAACTGTCAATGCTGAACACTTCCCACTCTTGATTCCAGGCACTAATTGCACAAATAAGAGACACAGCTTATTAGATCCACACAATGATTCCATTCCTCCTGCTGAGAAACCATGCTGATAACATAATCTTGGCATTCACTGTTCGGTTTTTACATACTCAAACTTTCAGTTCTTTCTTGGGCTGATTATGGGGGGAGGAGCTGAGTTTGTCTCAACAGTTGATCTAAAATAGATGAGGAAGAAATTGGTATGCTGGTTTTCAATAAGCTTGTTCTAGTTTAACATTCTTAATGTGCTTTGTGGTGTGAGAGATTTTACCGTGCTGCAATGGAGGACATGGTCAGCTTATTATGTGAGAGATCCCTTAAAATCCTTCTGTCAAGGTCTAGAATAAAAATGCTTTCATCTTCTTTCCCATGTCCATGGTGGCACATAATAAGAACATAATTGTGAGTATCCACCTCTGTTGGAGTATCTCACATGCCTAACTGGGCAGTGATGAAAATAGCAGCTCCAGATTGCAGAAACCTTCAGGGAGTAGGACTAGGAAGGGGGGTTGTGGTAAATTTTTGATAGCGGTCACCAGGCTTGTATCTACAAAGGCCTGTGTTCACCCTTGAGGTCAAGCAAACCAGTTTGGGTAAATAGAGGACCCAAATTGTTAAGTGTGGTTAATTTTTCTGCCTCTTCTAAGTTTTCCCAAGTATCAGGATTTATTTACTTAATCCAGACCTGGATCTGGGGGTAATATCTTTCTTTCCTTTTCTTCATTTTCTTTTTTAAGCCTAGATCCCATTGAAAATCAAAGGGAACAGAGGCACTTCTACCCCATGTAGTTGCTCTTGAAAATTATATTTGTAGTATTTTTGGATGGATCAAAATTAGATTGATTAGCAGTCGTATATAAGAGAGCTGAAAGGCCTCCAGATCAGAGGCATCGGGAAGCATCTGATGTTCCATTTGCTTCTCTCAGACAGTCTCTGAACCTTTTGAAGCCAACTTATCTCTGCTCTACACTCCTTACTCAGTACTGTAGCTGTCTTATGAGAAACCTTGAAAAGTCCTGTAAATGTATGCCAGGCTTCTCGAAAAGAACGCAGAGCTGGGAACACACCTCAGAGCTTACAATCTAAGGGCTTGGCTGTGCACGCAGACTCTCTCTTTACCCACACTGAGCAAGGGTCTGTACACGCAGAAGCTGTGTACACAGTTGGGCTGTAACTAAGAGAAGACCAACACAAAGCCACAGTCCTGAGCAGAAAGTGCACATTGGGGTTGGTGGCAGGAAGTAGGGTAAAAATGGATTTTAAATGAGGGCATGTGGAAGAATGCTCCAAGGCCTGGTGAGTGAAGGGAGAGACTCCAGTGGACATCATTAGGCTTGGAGTGAGGCCCCAAACATATTGCCAGCAAGAGCAAAGTCACAGAGCTGAAGGGTGGAACATAGAGATAATGAATCAAATCCTTGACTTGCTGAGGATGCAAAGCAATGTAAATAATAATTATTATGGTGCAGGGATTGGGAGAGACCTAATGGGTGAAATCCTAGCTCCAGTGAAGTTGACAGCATCGGAGCAGGATTTCACCCAGGAAGTAGCATATAAGGTAGCAGGTTAAAGGCATGGGTTTGGGTAGGTGGAAACCTGTCAAAGGAGAGTGGATCCATTGTCTTCCCAGGACTGAACCAACTTGGAGCTTGGTGTTCAGGGACAGAAAAAGGCAAGGACCCAGCTGATATCCAGTGCTAAGCTCCACCCTTTTCTGGCCCTTTAACCCTGCTCTGAGTTTGCTAACAGGGTTGGACTTGGGCTCTGATGGGTTGTATTTGACATGTAGAATCACTACTATTCCTCACTCGCAGGGAGAGGCCTAGCCAAAGCAGCTGTGACTTCAAGTGTAATCTAAAGCCCCAGGAATAATCCATGTGCTGCTTCCAGAGCTTCCTCCTTCCTGCCTATCCTTAACTGCAGCCCTGGATTAGAAGCCTAAAGACATCTGTTACAGCTGAAAGGCAAGAAGAGGTCACTTAAAAAAAACACATCAAATACAGATATTCGTGTGCTTCCCAGAGAGCCCTGTTTTCAAATTGATCAAGGGCCCAGAGCTTATTAGTTCTGCTGATTCCTATTTCTGCTGGAGACTTTTATCTGCTATGGCAACTGAAACAAAGCAATTTTTTTTGGTTGCAGGTTCCCATTAATTGGGCTTCAGGTGGGAAAAATCTGGCAGAGAATTAGCTGCTAGTTCAGAATTTATTCAGGATTTAGCTTACCCCGTGGTAAGACGTATGACTTAAAATGTACACCCTCTAGTAACTCAGAGGTGATAAGATTGGGCCGTTGTCTATCCTTAGACATAGAAAACATTGAAATTGAGGGAAGACACTGCCCCATGGTAAAGCTCTAAAAGACATCTGTCTTTGGCCAGGCTGGGGGAGCATTTTATTTGACATAATGTATTTGCAATGCAAAGATCGTGAAACTACTGCGTGAGCCTCTTCCTCCCCCTGCCCCTCTGCCTTTGTCTTGCCTGCTTTTTTCAATGTGAACTCTAAATGCTGTGTGACTTTAATTTTGGGGCTATCAAACTTGCTGTCAGAATTATTGTCTCGTGGAAAGTTGAAATAAAAATATATTATTTCTTTTTTCTCCCTTACCTTGAGAGAGAGAGAGAGAGTTGTCGTCTTAGGCTTTGGGTTGATAAGGAAGTGTGCATCTGTGTGCATGCACACATATGGTACCTTAATCCATAGGTGCCAAATACATGGGGGCCTGAAGGCCCTGGCCCCCTTTGGGAAGCGAGTAGGGTGACCACCTGTCCCTAATTGGGGGGGACAGTCCTGAAATGGGAACATCAAGTCCTAGTCCTGGGCTGCATGACTCCGGGACAGCATTTGTCCCAGATTCCCAGTATCATGCAGGGATCCAGGTTTTCTGTTCACCATGGAAAAGCGCAAGGAAACATTAGGTTTCTCCTTGCAAGCTGGCGGAGTTTCAGCCTGCAAGGGGCTGTGGGGAATGAGATGCGCGTGCACATGCACGTGGCCAGGAATACAACCCCAGGCAGTGGTGGAGAACAGCTTTTCCAGCTGCCTGCAGGTAAGTCAATGGGGGGGGGA